CCCGTTGGCCCCAAACTAGAGACTGCACGCTCTGAAGGTACTGAGAATAACTTCCACTCCCCTCTTTTCTTCCTTTTGTGCAGGAGTGGCTTGTCTGATGTGTGAATTGAAAAGGCACAGCAATCAGCAGCTCTGACCCTCTGGGCATCTCTGGCATCCCTCTGCCCACAAGGCAGCTGCACTCTGCACCATTTCAGCTTCTAGGCACTGTGGCCTGGGCCCAGGTCTGTCTTGCAGGGTAAACCTGGAGGCTTGTCTTTTCCGTGAGAGTGTGAGAAAGTGGTTCAGGCAAATATATCTACTTTATAAAGCCAAACCATCCCCAACTGACCTATCTCAACATGTAGTCTTAGAGCAAAGCTCTAGGAAACTTGATTTGACTACAGATCTGCGATCTTTCTTTTTTTAGCATATTTTTATTAATTTATCCCACACATATCTTTTTAAAGACCAGCTTTTCATTTTTATCATTTAGTTAATTAGCTATTGTATTATTTTGATTGAAGTAGCATTGGTTTACAACACTGTATATGATTTAGGGAAACAGGGTCACCCCTCTCCAGATATATGTTATATACCACGCCCACGGTCGAAGCACCTGTAATCCTCTATCACAGTCCACTGGGCCACCAACCCCTTTTACTTCCCACTCCTCATCATCTCTGTCCAGTAACCTCAACTTATTGGACAGAGTTTAGTTTTTCTGTTCCTTTGGTTTTTTTCTTTATATTCTACATCAGTGGAAGCACCTGGCATTGGTCTTTCTCCTTCTGATTTACTTTGTTTAGCACAACCCCCTCCAGTTCCATCCATGTGGTAACAAATAGCAACATTTTTTTTTTTAAATAGCTGAGTAGTATTCTACTGTGTGTATATACCCCATTTTCATCCACTCATTGGGGCACTTAGGTTGTTTCCATAGTGTTAATGGTTATGCTGCATTTTTTTTTTAACTTCATCATCAATAAATATAATCTTTTCATCTCTTCCTATATTTGCTTTTGGTCTCCCAAGTCCCAAGTTTAGTAGAGAAGGAAAAGACAATGTTATTTGGAAACCAACAATGCTAGCATACTCCAATTAATTCACCAATCATTGCCATAAATTCAGCACTAAGGACCTATGAATGACGCACAGACATAGAGGAATGTTCCTGCTCTCTGGAGTCTGCTGACCTCAGGGGTGATTATAATAGAATAGAAGTAACTGAGATTCTGAGGACATGAATTATGAGAAGGTTTATGGTGTGGGTACAACTAGACGAGAGAAGTTTTCTCAGAGAGACAGCAAGATACAGGCATTCAGACAAAACCATGTACAAAATCCAAAAGACAGGAAAAGCAGCAAGTACAGCAACAGGAAGGGGTTGATGGGTGTCAGGACCTGGGGTTGACAGATGAGCTGCAGGCCACATGTGCCTGCTGAAGAAACTCCAAAAGCAGGGGCGTGACAGAAAGGTTTACAAACAGGTGATGTTGTCAAGAGCGCTTTAGCAGAAGTGTAGAGAATGAATGCGGAGCAATGAGACATGAATCTGGGAGCACACCTTGGTAACTCCTGACAACCGTCTAATGAGACATGGAAATCCAAACGGACAGGAAGCAGATTAAAGGAATACTCTGAAGGTTTGATTTCTACCCAATTTGTTCCAAAAAAATAATTCTCATGTAAATATGCAGAGAATACAGCAAGATAAAAGACACAGAAGTAAACAACAAAGAGGAAATAAGGCCAGGTATGGACATAAAATGCAGCCAGGTGAGCTGTGGCGGCGGGGGGAGGGTGCGTGCACACAAGCGAGCAACGGACTATGACAGGATGGATTACAGACTTGGCTTTCTGTTCTCTAGTAGTCAACACCAGCAGGGAAGAATCCTTTGCATGTATCATGATGCTTATAAGACAAAAGCAAGCCAGCTGTTTAGGGAAAGAACAACTATTCCCAAATCTAAAGCCAAAGCAAATTTCTCCTGAGAGTCTTCACAAAGACATGCAATGTAAGTAATAATACTCTCAGCAATATCCTCATTGCAGGCAGAGTAACTTCAAAGGGATGTTTCTCCTCCAAGTCTTTTATAGCCAACCAAAGACAGTACATGGAAAATGTGTTTTTTACTGACTGCCCTCTCCCATTAAATAGTGGTTTCAAGGCGTGGTGTGGGGTGGCCTCTGTTCTTTTTTTTTTTTTTTTTAAGATTTACTTATTTATTCATACAGAACTGGGGTACAGGCCAGAAGTGCAGGAGCAGTGAGAGACAGAGACAGAGTGGGGAGCAGAACAGGCTGACTGACTAACTACACTGCTGAGGGAAGCAGCGGGTGAGACAGTGGAGGTCTGTTGTGCCATGTGGGTCACCTCTGGAGTGGGGATAGAACTCATGCTGAAGTGCCTTTAGCTTCTTAGTGCTGTGCTTTAACCCCTGCACCACCAGGGAGGGCCCTCTTCACTTCTTTTTACAACAGCTAATATTTTGTTGTAATTACAAGTATTTTGATCTCCTCCCATAGAACAGTCTCACTGGGGGGTAACTCAGTTTTCAGGTAAAGGTTCAACTTTCCAGGTTTCCCCTTCATGGATTTGTGTCTCCTAAAGCACTGTCCAGGCTGTCTGTGACCTTCTGATGCCCACTGATCAGCACCATGGTCCCCCTTTGGGCTGTGGGGGGTCCACTGCCTATCACTGCTGCCATCTTCCCACCTGTATGTGCTCTGCTCACCTGACTCACCTGACTGGAAATGTCCCTGAGTTACCAGCCCCCCTTGACTCTTGTGATCACTGCTGCCCTTGGGGTCTCAGCCAGGTCACCATCTCTGCACCTGCTGAACCAGCATCCCTCAGGCCACACAGGGATTCTGCATCACTTTGTCATGAGTGAGGGGAGTTCAGAAGCAACGCCCTGGGCATAGTCTTTGCCCACTGTGTTGAAGCTGTGTTATTCTGCTGTGCTATCCCCAGGCCATCAGCCATCTCCTCTGAGAGTGCAAAGTGAAGTGTGGCCACAGCTCTCCTGTGAGAGAGTCTCCCTCCTCTTCTCTACCAACATCACTCTCCAGCTTCAAGTCACTGGGAAGCAGCCAGCACCCAGGGTCTGACCCACCTCAGGCCCTCCACCCTTCCCACTCCTCATGGGGGTTGGGCTTTCTCTCCTCTCATGGGAGGAGGGGACCTCCCTTAGCAAATCGATCCTGAGAACTTACCAGCCTTGGCCTAGAGCAAATTGGTTATTTATTTCCCAGAGGCTGGCTCTCCATATGTTATCAGTATTTTGAGGAATTTAGAAACATTTTTTCCTGTCAACAAAGTACACTTTGAATACTAATCTTATTAGGAACTCAGAAATCCTATTCTGGTGACTGAATGGTGAATGTTAACCCCTTTTGCCCCCTTTTCCTGCAATAATGGTACTTGCCTACCTGGATATAGATTCCCAGAGCTACTACATACATGGAATTGCATAGGGATTGAGTTGGGAGAAACTATGCACATGGAATGTAAACAAGGAAAGTGAGAGTTAATAGTTCTATTGGAGACTTCCCTGGGGTCGGAAAAGAAGCACTGTCTAAGAGATAAGAGCCCCTGCAAGGTTTTGTTTAGATCTTGAGGGGGAAAGACAACCACATTTCTGATTTAGCTGAGTGAATACCTTAAGCCAGGATAGGTAATACAAAAAGAAGGAGGGTAAGGAGAAATACCGGCTCCACCTGGGGGTTATCCCACGTATTGGACAACTGGAAACAGGTGTTCAGGTAGCATCTGGGATCATGAGCTACAGAAAAGAAAGGCTGGAGACAGGTTTAGGACCCACCCACTCAGGTGGTAATTGATCTGGGGATGCAGGACTTCCCAAAGGGATGGATACAGATCCCAGAACAGCCAGTGTCCAGGGCTAAAGAGTTGTCTGGAGTTTATATAAAAACCCTTCCCAGCCCTCCCTGATGGTGCAGCAGGTTAGCTGCAGCACTGCAAACTAGCCACAGCCATCTCAGTACAAGTTCAATCTCTGGTCCCTGAGCTGACCCACATAGCGCGGCAGACCTCTCCTAGCCCGCCCGCTGCTCCCCTCAGCAGTGTGCTTCGTCAATCTGTCTGTTCTGCTCCCTACTCTGTCTCTGGTGAATCCTCTCATCACTCCTGCACCTCTGACCTATACCCCAGTTCTATATGCATAAGTAAATAAATCTTTTTAAAAAAAGAACCCTTCCTGAATGGGATCAAAAATGGGGGGGGGGAGTGCACTGGGCTATGGTGAAGGCACATGAATGATTTGGTGATGGGAAGCCCACGGGGATAACAACTGAGATGGAAAAAGACACAAAATGATGTAAAAAGAAATTATATTATTTTTTAAAAAAGAACCCTTCCTAATTGCTCTTTTCTAGCATTAAGTTTAAGAAAGTGGATTAGTAATGTGGAAATAAATGGTATCTAACATTACATTCACCTTCCTTGTACCCAAACACATGTCAATTTCAGCTCGTCCTATGCTTCCAAACTGCACAAATCCCTGAGGTCAAGACCCTCCACAAGCTGGCCTGACCTTATTTTTTGTCATCCTGTCTCCCAGTTCTTTCCCATATACAAAGTCCATGCTCCATTCAGATGACAGGACTTCTCCCCAGTCACTGGGAAAATCTCCTGTTTTAGGGATCCCGGCCTTTGTTTTTGCTATTTCCTCCTGCTGGAATATGTCCCTTCCCTACCTCATCTCCCAAACTTCTGTTCATTGAAAGAAACTCTGCTCAGATGCCACCTCTGTGACCATTCAACTCCCACCAACATCATGAAGAACATGCTTACAAAGAGCTGTGCCAGGCACTGAGAAGGATGCCAATGACCACAGACACAGCTCTCAGCCTTGAAGAGAGAAACTCCAGCAATCTGCGTAACCCACCAACTCCACTGTGAGGTAATCAGCATTTCTCAGATTAGGCCTCCTACTCCCTACATAATATGAAAATCCAGATTCCAAAGCCACACGCTAACTCCCCAGTGTTGAACTCAGAAACCCAGATATATGTTTAGACAGCTCCCTCAGTGACCTTGATGCCATGGGGAGAATATTTATCTCCCCTCCTGACAACAGGATGGTGGTAAAGATAAAGTTAAGACATATGTGTGACCGAGCTTTGAAAATGGCCAGGCATCATTTCAAAGGATTGTGGTAGGTATTATTAACCAGAGTATATTTTTCATTACGTTTCTCAAAAATCCTATACCTTTTGTCTTTGACCTTAAGCTCATTTCCCCTCCACCCAAGGAGTGACATGATTTTTAGGGGGTTTGTACTGTCTGTGAGATGGAGAGGCACATGCAAGTGTCAGGTATTACTCATATCTTGACTGTAAACTCCACCCAGCATCTGAAAGCCTGGTTTTACTCCAGTTCCTTACATCACCACCAACTTTGATTGAGAGCCATAAAAAGTAGAAAAAGCATCTGGAGGTCAA